GCTGTGAGCTCAGTTTATACTAGAACAATTGAAGCACGCGTTTAGAATAATGAAATAGGGAAAAGTCCGATTAAAATATGAAGAAGCGTTTATTTCTATAGTCTCAAGCTTCTAAAAACTGTACTTTACCTTTAAAGTAATTATGTAAATGCAGGGAGAAGAAAAAACACAACATGCTATAAAAATATTATTAGAAAATTTAAATAAAAATAAGTAAATCCATAAAAGCTGATCAATAACGTATATTTAAACTATTGTTATTACTAAAATATAGACAAAAATAATCGCTTTTATATTGTAGTTTTTGCATTTATGGAACGGTTCGTTGTCTTTGTTCTATAGATGCCAGAATATACAGACTTTTTCAGTTTAATACAAGTTTTACACTTTTGATTTGAGTTACACCCTCACACATTTATTCATTTGATCGGCTTTTTAATCATTTTTTTTATTCACATATTCATTGACTCCCCTATTCATTTATTTCCTTGCTCATGCATTTATACTTTCAGTCATTCCCTAGCTGATACTTTGACTAATTCATTCATTCATTACCCAAGAGATTTGTTTTTTAATTCCATCATTAATTTATTTATGAGTCCTTTACATTATTAATTAATTTATTCCTTTGTTCAATCAGTCATTCATTTATTCATGTCCTAACCCAACTTATTCACGCACTCTTTCATTCTTCAACTTTTTATTAACTGACTAATTTTCTAACTTTGACTTCATGTTCTGTTAAACTAATTATGCTTTCAAAATTTAGTAGCATTTTCTTCTCTGAAATATCGTAAATGAAGAAAACCAGAAAAGAGCCAGTAACCAGAAAAGAGAAACTATTATCATGCAAATGAGATTATAGTTCATATAACTACGTGCAGACTAGGTATCCCCTTTTTTTGTTTGTGCAGACAAGGTATGTAGGTATGTATCTATGCTTTTAATAAACAGCTGACCAGTTTACAAAAAACCTATTTTATTCAGAAGAAATTTATTTCTTATTCTACAGAAATGCATTTCTGCAAAATCCGTCGAATTCATCACTAGTGTCTTGCAAGAAAACGTGTATTTTCAGAAAACATACAACTCAACCACACACGGGGAACAAAATTCTGCGAAAATTATCGTACTATGTCGTAAACATATTTTATTCTTATTATCACACATCTAAGGTGTGATGATAAAATTACCAAATTTTACCATAGTTACAAAATGTTATCATATATTATGAAAGAAAATTTTATTGTTAATTTTAACAAAGTCATTTCTAAAGTAATTCCGGTAAAACTTTTTACGCTTTATGGTGTTCCCATAGTGTCACAAGCACGATAAAATTTACCAAATCATGGTAGTTTTTACCATGATTTTTTTCTTAGTTCAAGGATGACCCTTTTATTACAAGGACTGCAGATATCAATTTCATTTCTATCTGTTTTCTATAAACAGTAAAAAATTTTACAACCCTACAAAAATTCATCTCTATAAAACTGCTTGAATAAATTCCTTCAATGCATTGTTAACATACTACAAGAGTTACTTTTAAAGTTATCAGGCATCAGCTTTTCACAATGCTCAATTTTATACAATTTAAAAAAATTAACTAGCAGTAATTGATTTTTTACAATTCTACTGAAACTAATTCCTACAAAAATCAAATATTAATCTTAAGGGAATCGATTACTATGATCTTCTTAAAATCAATTTCTATAATTAGAAGAAAAAAAAGATTTTTGATTACTTTTAAAATATTAACTTAAATCATTACTTAATTAAAAAAAAACTTCCTTACCTTCAAAAATATGCGGTTGGGAAAAAAGTCGACAAGCTTCATGTGATCAAAATCGACGCCTATTCTCAAGTCCGTCTGCATGTTTTTGAATCCTATCAGTATATTTTTGTAACCAATGAAGTATTTTTAATCAAGTTATATTTCGCCGCTTCAGTTTTTCGGGGTTTACATATGTTTCTTTTTTTCTTCCTTGTCGTATGCCTGTTTAGGCAGTGGGGGTGCGATTGTTCCTGTTTTTCAGTGGCGCCATCTATGGCCAGGAATTCGACTTCTCCCACGCCATTCACACAACCACAACCCGCTTATAGGGCTGGTCACATTACACACAAAGGAGAAAGGACATAGAACACACAGAGGGAGAAAGAAACATCCATGCCTTGCCCGGGATTAGAGCCCAGAACCTTTCTGATGCAAGGACAGTTCCCTGCCCCCTACGCAGGCCGGTCGGCTTTACTTATGTTAAGTGTTTTGTTCACCATTTTTTTCATGAAATACTCTTTCAAATAAATACAAATTTATTATATAGTTTTTCTTTCATTTTTTTTCAACAAAACTGTCTACAATAAATTTAGCCTGATAGTAAACGTTCTAAATTAAACTGCTTAACAAATGTTGAAAGCAACTACAGAACTCAACACCATACAATATTATGGGAATCAATTAGAATACTCATTCAAGAATCAATTTTTAAAACTCCACAATTTAGAATTTATTTTTATATTTCTACAGGAATCAATTACTATAATTCCACAAGAATAAATTTTTATAATAGGTCGCAAAGCATTTTTGCTTTATTGTTTAAATAATGTTTTATCAACCATTTTTTCAAGAAGTTATGACGTAAAAACTTTCAAATTGATTCATTCTTTTCCGTTTAATTTGATAAATATTTTTTGTTCTTTCTGCAGGCACTTTTTTGAAAGTTTGACTTGACAATCAACATTTTAAATTGAACTATTAGCTTGTTTCACAAGTGTTAAAAATAGCCTGCTGGGTAGACATAATTGTAGTTTACCCAGACGAAAATATATAAATAAACTTCAGACAGGTTTGTAAACGCATAAGTAAAAGCAATGTAAGAATTGAACCAGCAAAAAGGTCATAACTTGTTGATTGCTTGCATACTTTAGAAAATTTATTTATTTTTCTTCATCGTGACTCATAAATTTATTAAATCTCTTTCTCTTAGCTTTATTTTTTGTAATTTAATAAACGTGCTTTTGATTTTGCAAAAGTTATGAAGTTATAATAAGCTTAAGTTGCAAGTTATATTAAGCTTAAGTTCAGAACACCTAATTATTTTACAGTTAGTTGCCAAGCTTGTTTTCTGAACATACAATGTAAAAATGAGCTTAACTAAAGGGGTCAATCCTAACTACTTTAATCCTTATGGCTATACGGAAATAATAGGTAATTTTGCTACAGGCAAAACATTCTACAAACTACTTGATTTGTCAGTGTTAAATGTTGCAACTGGTCTGTGGCCAGTTGTAACATTTTATCACTGACCACTTTTATAAAAATTTAAAATTTTGATAGATTTAAAAAACTTTTAGTATTAATGAGACATTTTCTTTAAACCTTTCTCAACATTACAAGATTCAAAGTAATATTAAATATTACAAGGTTCAGAAGAAAAATGTTGAGAGTAAAAGGTAAAATAAAGTAATTTTCTGAATGCTATAATTTTTTTTAATTCCATATTTATTTTTAAAGAAAAAATTACACTGTTATTCAAAGTCAACTGGCAAAAAAATAAATAAAAATACTTAAACATCAAATTTAGCATTTAATCGTCCGACACTGTAAAAAATTTAGGATCAAATTACTGTAGAAAGTACCGGCACTTTGGGTGAATCATTCATAAAATTCATTTCTACCGTAAAATATTATACCGTAATTTTTACAGTAATATTTATCAAATTAGAGTGAGACAGTGACTTCGCTGAAATTATTTCTGTAAAAATTATGGTATATCACATTTTTTACCTTAACATGTTTCTGTAATAACTGGATTTTACGGTAAAATGTACCAACTCCTTGAATGCCGATACTTTTTACAGTAATTTGATCCGGAATTTTCTACAGTGTTAAATAACGGTCACCAGTGTTGATCGTTAATTTTGCCCTATTCTAATGACTACAATCAATTATAAATGTGTTAAAAATGGTGCAATCTTTCTTAATTCTCCACAATGGTAGAATTCGGGAGAATTAAGTTCCACAAATTTGAAATAAATCGTATCCTCAGAGACAATGTTCAAGAAGAGGTAAATAAAAGTTCACTCGATCATAAGATTTTCGATGAAGGATAAAATAACTGGGGAAAAGATATTTAGAATAAATTTATTCATAATTGTCTTCGAGGGCATGCATCAATAAAACAATAATACAAAAGAAACGCAAGTTTATTTTTGTGTTATAACTGAGGTTGGTGTACATGTAAAGTGTTAATATTTCTCAATGTTAATAATCATAATTTCTAAAATCCAACAGATGGCGCTCTGCGCAGTAATGTAAAAGGATGAAATAGTTATTCTATAGAGTTTTTTTTTTTTTTTTTTTTTTTTTTTTTTTTTTTTTTTTTTTTATTTAATAATAGAGTTCGTTTGCTAAAATTAAAGTACTTATCTGCTTAAAAAGCCGGTGTCTGTTTTTAAATAACAGTATTTTTCCGTGAAATAAATGATTTTACATTTGCACACCCGCAGACCATTTTTCAAAAAAAAATTAATAGACTTTTTTTACAGTGTAGTTCGTAAAAATCTAAAGTCCTCCTTTAATAGCTAGCTTTAAGCTTCACTGCCTAAGTATGGCTAAGTATGACAACCTAAGTATATCTGTTCAAAATTCCGAGTTCACTTGCCAAGCAATGAACCAACAACAAAGGTCATTTTATTCTCTTAGTTTGCAAGCATTAGCATACAATTATAAACTCTGAAACATCACTAAATATGCAAATTGAAGTTCTTCAAATAATATTCATTGATCAAATATCCTGTTCTTAAATTTTTTAGACCAAAGCAAATCATGTTTGAACAAAGACGATTTTTAATGAAATGAAAACAAAACTCAAGATCTTGTGCTTAAAATATGCATATTTATCAGCAACTCACGCAATCATATTCTTCAGCATTACCTATATACTTTTTAAGACTCCGCACAATGATTTCGTGTATTCAAAATAGAACATAATTTTTTTTATTACCTCTTTATTTTGATTCGAAAAGGGCAGACGCATTTGAACATATTCCTTGAAGCATGAAGTACAGATCAGTCTTCTATTCAAATATCAATCAGTTCACTCTTTGGTTAAGATATCGCTTGCATTAAAACGATTTTATTTTTCACTTGTTATAAAATCGATCTTCACAATTACATTGATGGAAATGAATCTGAAATAGATGGATTAGTTTTTTGTAATGGAATTGAATTGATAAATAGAATCTGGATAGATATAAAAGGCGCGTTATTTTATGAGACTGTTTAATAAAGAATAATTGAAATCTTATTTAAGTTCATTGTTAAATGACAAACTTTATCTAATATTTAATAATCGAATAAATTTTACAGTTCTACATCAAACTTTGTAAATTAAACAAACTTTGATGACTTATAATCGAAAAAGAAGTTCTAAAGCTTGATACATTCCAGTTTCATCAGATTTATTAGCAAGATTGCTTTGAAATCACATTAACCATAAGTGTATATTATTTAAAAATAATATATTTTTGAAGTATTTAACAAATAATTATTTTTGTATTAGAAAACTTAAAAACATTATAAAAGTAAAATAATTTTTTTATTTCTCCCTTTTTTTACCTATATCTATTTTAATGTTTTCCAGATACTATGAACTGTCATATTCGAAGCATAATCTGTCAAAGACAAATTTTTGATATCAAATAAACTAACTCATTATATAAGAGTTAAATAAAAATATGAACTAATTTTGAAAACGTAAAATTTTATATTTTACTCTATGTTTCGAAGAAAATATTTGTCTTTAACATAAATGTAAATTATTCAGAAGATGTGTATTCTGTACTACAATTACCAATTACTTGGTATTAACTTTTTTAAATTGAAGTTGTAATTTATAAGAGCTTATTTGTGTAGTTGCTATATAGTTGAAGTTTGCACCAGTGTTCGTAAAGTTTCACTTATCACTTCTTTAAATTTTAATTTAGAGTTACCGAATTATGTATATATTTTGGAAAATTATGGCAAAAGTTACTCGCAATGTAATAGTTAAATTATGAAAGCATTGAAAAAAATTTTGTATTTTATAAAACTTAGTTTTCTTTAAATTAGAAGCACAATTAAAGCACTATTTTCAAGGATTTTTGTGGAAGATTTTCAAATCTGTGGTCAGTAGAAAAAGCGAACTTTCCTCACTAAAAATATAACTGTAAATTCTCCAATCAAACCAATCACTTGAGATTCCTTGCCTAAGGGGACAATGCTCTCCCAGTGAGGTGACTCGGGTTCAAATTCAGACGTTGACTGATCATTAAAAATTCTGAGTTCGGCTCGCTCTGACCACAATGCTGATATAGTTATATTAAAAACTTTTTTTTGGTAAAATAACAAGGACTTTTGCTAAAATAACATCAATTATCTACGTAAAAAAATAGACTCCCGTTTTTAAATAAAAGTATTATTTTGTGAAATAAACGATTTTATGCTTTCCCACCAGTTGGCAGTTTCGTAAATTTAACATATTTTTTTTACAATGTTGAAGAATCAAATATTCAAAATGTGCACAGACTTTTCAATAAATTATAAACATTTTAAAACAACTTTCATTTGCACTTGTGTTTTAAAAACTATCTATATATCACTTGCATAATATGGGCTTATCTATAAATATGGGCGTGACAATCCTAACAGTTAACATTTTCTGCATGAACCTTAGAGCTGAAGTCATTGACAATATGAAAACTTGCCCACCATGATCCAGGATACATCCCGAAGTTTTCTATTTCAGTCAAGAGGCCCTGGTTTCAAGGAACTTAAACTTGCCGCACTGTAGGTGGTACAATCTGTCTTAGATGCCATGACTGTCGGAAAAATAGTGAAAGTCTGACAAAATTTTAATCTCATCAGTCGTGAAATGTGGGTCAGCACCGCATATAGTCTCCTCTAAAGGAACCATCAATTAAAAGCATTGTTATTCAGTAGAGCTGTTCAATTATGCATTTAAAAATGCTGCAAAATTTTGGGAGTAAAGTTGGCTTAGATCTTTGGAATGAATAAAGCACAAATGAGCATTATGAAGCAAATGGTTTTTGATACATATCTTTGTATTTGATTTTGTTTAAAGGTTATTATATCTCTTAGTAATAAAATATGAACAAATTAGTGAACATAGCTCAATCGAATGTCTTGCAAGAAAACTATTTTAAGTGCTAGAAATTTTTGCCACTGATGTTAGTTTATATTTTTGAACTGAATGTAAGTAGTTAAGAGCATTAAGCGAATAATCTTACAAACATATTTTTTTAAATTTTATGGTTTTTGGTAGTCTAAATATTTTAAAGTGATAGAAAATTAAAATTGTGCATATAGGGGTCAAAAAAGAGCTAGTGGACATACGGCTAGAGTGAGTATCTTAAATAACTTTTTCATTCATCAGTCAAATTTCGTCTGTGAGATACCGTAGATTGGCAACAATGATGTACTATACTTTCATGCACAGTTGCATTATCAGACTATGAATACTTTAGTAAAATTTTGTAAAAGAAGATTTTCAAGGTGCAAAAGTAACTTTCAAATTTTCCCTTTACTTTTTATTATCATACTAGTGGGCTGCGCCCCCTGCTCACTAACGCTCGCCAACCCCGAAAATTGCTACGCAATCTTATATGGTTTGCTTCGCTCGCTACTAACTTAGGTACATTGCAAATGCACAAAATTCTAAGAATTCAAAACAATTATTCAAATCCATATAACAACTTTTTTTTAATAAAAAACAACATCTTTTTAGTAAATACTAAGTCATTAAAATAAATTTGAATTCAAATGAAGACTCATTGACTGAGACTCATTTTTCAATGAATAACTAATAACAATAATGAAACAAATAAATTCGTGACATAAATCAAAAATCGTCAAATAATTTCGTAATATATAAATTCGTGAAAAAAAAGCGCTTTCGGCAAAATACTAAAATAGAGATCTATCGACAAAGACTACTCACTTCTGCCTAGCTTAATAGTATGAGATTGCCGCAGCTGAATTGTTATTTCAGTTTCCGTTTTGAAAAGCGCTATATGTTGAGCCAAATCAGGTGGATTCGGCATGTGACATTTTTAACGGTAATCATTGGTCGATTTTCTAGCGTTGCCATTCGGGGAGTTGTAATGAGGCTTTTTTTGTCGCCGTGTAAGAGAAATATTTATAAAGATTTTAGGAATTTCAACAAAATGAGACAATGTGTTATAAATAATACGTTTTTTTTTACCTATTTTGATATTAACTTTTGCTCTGTATACTTTCATTTAACTAGCATTAGGCATAAACAAACACATGTCTCCGTGGGACTAGAGTAAAAACACGGTAGTGGAGCTAGTACGGACTATCCACATCCTACCTCCTGTAGAAGAAATGTAAATTGGTTTCAAATGTAACACATTTGATGTTATTTATTTTATAAATTAGAAGGATTTTGTAGAACAACATACCATTACAATTAGTGGTTCGATTATCAAGTAAAGAATTTAGCTCGAAACCTTTATACTAATTCACTCTTATTTTAATTTTACATTTTATAACCGTCGTTGAGCAGCCGACCCGATTTTTTGGTTTTACGACTACTAATGTAACTCCGTAAACTTGTAATTTTGTACCAATCCAGAAGACAAGATAACTCCTGGATCAGTACCCTCAGAAGTAAGATTTGTTATGGGAACATGGAGTACTTTGTGACTCGACAGATTTAACGTGCATCAGTCACCATTTACTACACGGGGATTCTTCAGCCGGAGAAAACGAACCCAGGGCCTCTTGGACATGGCCCAGTGTCCCACCAACCAGGCTATCCCGGCCGTTAATTCATCCTTTGAAGGATTTAAAAAAATTTAAAGAAGTTTTATCAAACTTGTTAAGGAAATATAATTCAATATAGATGAACTAAAAAGGAATTTTTGCCATACATTTTTATTTTATAACCGTCGTTGAACAACCAACCAAATTCTTTGGATTTACGACTAGTAATGCTCAACTCCGTAACATTGTAATTTAGAACACAATCCCGAAGACAAGGGAACTTCTGGATCAAGTATTGGGAGAAATTTGCCTTCGTGGAGGAATTTTTGATTGTAAGTGGCACTTTAAAGCATTTATTGGGCAAAATATTTGTCTATATTTATTTGCCCAAGATCTAGAGTACATTTTAATATTTATCTAAATTTGGACCATGACCTCTCAAAAACGGTCATTAAAAGAAAAATATCAAAAACCTGATACACAGTAATATTTACTGCAAAACCGCTGAATCACTGCAATTGAATAAATATTGCTGTAAAAATTACTCTATAAAACTTAACGGTGAGAATGTATGTTACGGTAAAATGAATTTTACGGATGATGCACCTAGAATGCCAGTCTTTATCGTCGTTTTATCCGGGACTTTTTGCAGCGTAGAAACGAAATACATAACAAGACATGATTTTGCTTATAAACTATTTTCAAAACAATTTATAAATTAAGCAAACTGGCAGATTTAGTTTCAACATATCTATTAGATAGAGGCGTGCATAAAATAAAAAAAAAGTTAGCAATTATCCTTACATTTTAATAATTATCCAAATTTCATTATCTAAATACATTTTAATAATTATCTAAATTTCATTATCTAAATACATTTTAATAATTATCTAAATTAGAGTACATTTTAATAATTATCTAAATTTTGACTATGACCTCCCAAAAACGGTCATTAAAAGAAAAATATTAAAAATCTGATATACATTAATATTTACTGCAAAAACGCTAAATCACTGTAATTGTATAAATATCAGTGTAAAAATTACTGTATAAAACTTCACTAATTAAACTTATGTATGTTTACGGTAAAAGGAATTTTACGGATGATACACCTAGGATGCCAGTACTTTTTATCGTCGTTTAGTCCGGAACTTTTTGTAGCATAGAAACAAAATACATAACAAGACATGATTTTGCTTATAAATTATTTTCAAAACAATTTATAAATTAAGCAAACTGACAAATTTAGTTTCAACATATCTATTAGATAGTTTAGTGCATAAAATAAAAATAAGAAGTTGGCAATTATCCCCAAAATATTAGGACAAAACAGAGTCACGTTTAAAAACGAGATCAATAACAAACTTTAATAATTAATTCGTTTATTTACATCAAATCATGAAAGAGATGAAACATCTAGAATATATCAATAACCGACCTCAACCTTTGAAGGTGAAGGCAACTGTAGTAGTATACATTTTAAAGTATCCTAAATTCTTTCTACAATTGGATAATATCGTTTTCGATCATCCCTTTTGCTTTCTACACGAACCTGACTTACTTTTAAGCCAATGCACTGCTGAAATTGAATATTCAGAACGAATAAAAAAGATGAATACAATTTAATGGCCGTTCAATTGTTTTTGTTGGTCATTAGATAGGACCCACATTAAAGAGTTAAAATGTTTCGTCCGTTACTTGGCGGGGTCATTTTACTTGGCAACCCTCTTCTCTAGGTTACTGGATTAGCCAGTTGTTGCCACTGAAATTATATGAACTTATTTTGAGATGAAAAAGATCAACAGGGAGTCTTAAAGGATGAGTTGATGTGCCACTTTTGGAAACAGTAGATCAGTTTTTTTCCGCTTCCTTAGATTTCGACACTTAACACTTTCTGTCCGGCTTTTGTTCGTAATTTAGAGTTTTGCGAACGCTCTTGGAATGATATATTTCTGAGCTCCGTCTCTGTTTAGTGGTTTAATTCATCTTGTTGCACCCAGGATTTTAAAGATGACGTATCTGAATTTTGTAAGTTATTTTATCTTATGATTCTTTTTACACAATAACTTAACTACACATAGAAATACTTTGAAATATTTGAAATTTTAAAATAAATATATATGTTTTTGTACAAAATCAAAATTTAAATATTGAAAGAGTTTTTAAGATTTTAGGCTTGTTTTTCGAATTTATTTCTAAATTATTTATAATAGTAACTATGTATATCATTGAAACTAGCAAAAAGGCTAGTTTCAACGATATGTCAGCAATATTTATATAGTAATTTACCTTTACATTGTAATTTATATTTACATTATTCTAGTTAACATTTTTACTTAAAATGTATGAAAATCAGAAATTCCAAAAAATAGATTTATGATTTTTTTTTTTAGAAAAATTAAGTCACTTATCTAAAGATTTACACAAGCATGTAATTTATTAAAAATGAGGAATAATTGATAAATGGTGCTTTTGGTTAATTTTTCCTCATAGTATCATTTTTATGTACTCTGAAAATGCAAAGAAAATTTAATTTTTCCTCATGATAAATGAATGATGGAACTATACATTTGACATAATATGATGTTAAGTCTTACCGTGCCTGAAAATTTCATTTCGCTTCGAAAAATAATGTGATATATTAAATAAATTACACCTTAGATAAAAATATTTGTTACACTTATACTTTGAAATAAACTTTTTATGGATGTTTCCGAATTACTTTCAAAATAGTTAAAACTACTACAGTATCAAAAGTTTATGATTGAACGGTTTGAAATGCTTAACATTTTTATTATCATTAACTTCATAAATAGAAAATTGAAAATATGTATATTGTATACAAATTTAAAGTTTGATTTCACAGCGTTTCTTAAAATCACTTCATGATTAAAATTTTTATCCAAAATTGCAAAATATGTGGCATGCATTCTCTAAAGAATATTTTTTTTTACATTTTATGATAAATAAAATAGTAGAAAGAAAGAAAAAAAATTTAGCAAAGCTTGCCTTTATGTGAAAAAATTCTACACTAATTCATCACTCATATCAAATACTGATTTTCAAATGAAAAATTCATTTTCAAAAAGAAAAAAAAATGCATGAAACAATTAAACATTTTTCAGAAATTTTTTTTTTCACATGAAGCAATTTAAAAATGTCAAATATGATGCTTAGAAACAAACTAATACTTAAGCAAATAAAATTATTGGAGCAAATTTAATATCTTCAGTAAATATTATAACGTTTAATATAAAATCACTATATATATCGGTTTATGAGTATGTTATGGGTAATATTACCAAACGTAAAATTATCAAAATATATAAAAATTTATTAATTATATTTTATGAAAATTAAAAATATAGCTCAATTTTCTGAAATCAAATTTTTATTTCAATCTCCCACTTAAGAAAGAAAATTTTACATATTTGATAAAAGGAAATAAAAAAAGCTCAATTTGAGCCCATTGTTAAATAAATACTACATTCAAAGATCAAAGTATTATTTCTGTAAAATAAACTTCTCAATTTTTAATACCAATAAAAATTGTAATATCGTCTTGGCTGAATAGTATAATAAATATTTAGTTTAAACCTCAACATGTCGCATTTAAAAACAAAATTGCTAAATTATTGTGGTACCTTTTAAAGGTCCATTTAGCTAATTCATATATATATTTTGTTTAAAAATTAAAATATGCAGTATTGAGCTATAAAACCTTTTTTAATTCACATATTCTCTAATATACTCTGTTTCTTAAATCACTATAATTTCACAAACGTACAAGATCTTAAGCAAACACGCAAGAGCTGTGTTTAAAATCACTGTCATAGTTGCAATGTAAGCTGATTATTGTATATTGGTCTAATTTTTGTCGATAAAATTTTAAATCTCTGCATACTTGTATTTTTAATACATTTAGAAGGGTTAACCAGCTGGTCCTTAGCTGGGCTGGTTTTAACCATATGATAGAAATATTTTACTTTTTGAAACAGAAACTAAATTATATATTTATACTTAAAATTGTTTTAAAATCAGAAATTCTAGGAAATTTTTGATTTTGTTTTTCGAAAAATTAAATCATTCATTTAAATATTTACACAAGCATTTATTTTTTTTAAAAATTATGAACAATTGATGAATGATGGTTTACGTTTTTATCCCTTATAGTATCATGTATATATATATGTACTATGAATGAATACGTACATATTTATATACTATAAAAGGAGAAAATATAAATTTTTTTTTCTAATAACAGAATAATGGAACTATACATTTGGCATAATATTATGTTAGGTCTTATCATACATGAAGATTTTGTATTGTTTCACAAAATAATATGGTACAATAATTGAATGAAATGATACAATAATTCTATAATAATTTTTTTTATTCATTTCTCATTCAGTGCAAAAGAATTAAGAGAAATGATAAAATTTTGTGTCTAGCCATGATTGTAAGAATTTTTAGATGGCACTGAATGCATTAAAATAATTTAATTTGCACTTAAAATGCTCCTTTTCGTATTTTATTTCATCTTCTTAATTCAACTGATTGATTTTACTTTACACCGTGAACTCATAAAATATAACTCCCACTGACCGGTTTTATTTGTTTAGTATTCATAACAATGATTATTTTTAAATATGATTGATGTTTATTTCAAAAACTTGAACTTGAAATCCGCTTGACGCTCTCGTGAATTTATCACAGTGCGCACGTAATAAATAAATTTATCATAATGTATTCAAAATGGGTAACGTTTTATTTATGGACTATCTTGACTCGCTTTTAGTGTTAAAAATAGAATTTTATTAATTCCAAAGCAATATTTCATGAAAATAAACTGTTTGCTGTTATATTACATTAATTTTGTGAAATTAAGTTCAATGATAAAAGCACTAAAAATTTGAGGGCACTCATGGTATTAGAATAGAATTTATATTTTATTTTTAAAGGAAATTTTATTTAACTGTTTTAGAGAAACCAAATCTTACTAATTTATTTAATTTGCTGAATCAAATCTGAGGAATTTTTATTTAAATACACAGTAAAAAATTTCTGATACAATTACGGTAAAAAGTACCAGCATTTTGAGTGTATCATCCCATAAAATCTATGTCACCGTTTAATCCATTTTTACTGTAATTTTTACTGTAATATGTATTTGGTTTGAGTGGCTAAGTGGTTTTACGGTAATTATTCCTGTAAAAATGATGATATACAGATTTTTTGTTCTGTAACTTGTTCCGATAAAAATGGATTTTATGGTAAAGAGTAATGTTGAGTGCCGATACTTTTTTTTTGTAAATTGATCCGGAATTTTTTATGTTACATTTATTTTCATACCGTAAAAAAATTATCTCTTTCATATTTATTATCTCTTTCATGGAAAATATCTCAATGGCATTTTTATCACATTCAATTTTAACAGTATTTAGTTCAAAAAATTTTTAGCCCAATAATCTGAAATTTATTTAGTTTGAAAATAATTTTTTTCCAACCTGTTTAAACAGATAAACGATATAAAAAAATAATAAATGTATAAAGATATTAATTTTTAAAGGTAATGACACAAAACGAAAACAAGTAAAATTCTTTGTTTCAGATACGTTTCTTTATTATGAAAAGCTTCCGCTGTGTCAACAACTCTAATATAGAAAGTATATACGTAAAATTGTCGAAATAAATCAAAGAAGCAAATATATTTTGACAAAAATTTGTTATTAATGAACAAAATAAAGAAATATTTATTTATTTCCTGCATTATCCATCATAAGAATAATTTTATTACTTTGTGTAGAGGAAAAATAACAATACTGAGAATTGGAACTAACAATTGCCTATATTAGCTTAGCAAAACATAGAATCAGATACAAGGTTTTAATGCTAAGTTTTTCTTTAAAAACGTTACATTACATTTAAAATTAATTAAAATATTTTATGATAAAATTCAATAAAATTTCAATTTATTCTATATGAAAGTTATTTTTTAACATATAATAAGGTTATTTTGGATTCAATAAACAAAATAAAAAAATTCCGTTTTAAGTATTATTAAAATTCAAATCTATTATTTCATCTTGGTAGAGGACATGCAAAAAATATTTAACAACTATTGACATAATAACAAAAATCTAATAATTTGACAATAATTATTATCCATTTAATAAACAAATGTATGTGTTTATTTTAAAGGATGTGTTATAAGGATAAATTTTTGAGAGAGTTTCGATGTGTAGAGAAATTTACTATTTTTAAATGTAGCGTTTTTAATTTGACAAGAAGTTTTTATTTTTTACAGTGGTCGCTTTTACAACCAATTTCTTAGTAAATTTAAATGTTATTTTTTTCCTTCTGACTATCAGAATTATTTACGTTTGATTTTACACTGAAAGTCTTAACGTAGTTGTCAGCATATTTTAATTTACAATAACAATTTAAATAATTTATTAGTAACTATATAATTTTCTTTAAATTCATTTTGAAATTTAAAGAAAGAACTGCTTGTTCTGCTAATGAGTATACTCATAACATGATTAAAAAAATTATTTTATAGTTTAAATCGTTTGTAACTAAGTTAAATAGAAGGAAAACCTCTTATTATACTGATTTTAAAGATTAGAAATGTAAATCTCTTGTAACAATTATTTAAAAAAGTACAATTTCGCAGACGTAATTATTATTTTATGATATTATCTATGTATAGCTAGATAAAATCAGCATCCTTTTTAATATTAAAAGATTAATCTAAGTTTTTACTTGTTCCATTGTTCTATTATTGTAATTAATTTGGACAAAAACGTGGTTTAAAATGCGTGTGCACGAGTTTTGTTTTGGAATTGTTGAATTAATTTAAGCGCATACTTGCAACTTATCAATTTAATTTATTCAACTTGTCTTGAGTTGAATTCAAAGTAGCTTATAAAAGAGAATTTGTGCCACTAAACGTGCGTATACTATATATCTTACTATTGTTAATATTGTAGGACATTTGTCTTGTAGCGTGCTAAATAACTTCT